ATTTGCCTTTTATATTTTGTCATATATATAAATATCTCTTGTCTTATTTTATATATTATGTGTATATATTTTCTTATTTTTTATTTTAATTCTGCAAGTATTCTCGTGTCGCGTTTTCAAGTTATTCGTTCGTTAACTGAAATTGCAATTTAAGAATCCATAATGAGTAACCTACTACGAGATGATTTCTTCAAAAGGAACTTTTATAACCGCAAAGAACAATTTGGCGGCGGTACAAGAGGTACAATAGTCGGTTAGTATTGTATTACGTGTGTTCTCTCGACTGGCTTACATTACGCACGGTACCGACCTATTTGTTGCCGCGTCAACAAGTATATTTTTATTACCGCTGAAATATTTTTATTATCATTTTCCGCAATTGTCGAATTAAACTAAGATTGAAACGAACGAGATCTCGACTCGGATTCAAACAATTAATTCTCTTAACGTTTCACACACTAGTCGGTCGCGAGTCATTCCGTATGCACGCGCTGGTTTATAACGCGTTTCGTATATTTCCGCTATATTCGCATTTGATGATCTTAGCTCCCGAGCAAGCGAATGCCTCGCTCACCAATAAAGGAGAGCACGTCCGAGAGTTTACGATGCAGCTCGATTTAATAAACGTGAAACAAACGCCTTGGGAAAATATTAGAAATTGTTGTACCATGCCGTGTCGTTAGACACCCACACTTACTCGGAGAACTACAAAAGCAAGCAAGATTCAACGTCCAAATTACGATGATTAACGTGCCTGTATAAAGTTAAATTATTTCTTACCTTTCCATTCCTAAATATCTTAGCAAAAGAAAATGTCAGCTTTTTTATTAGAAGTCATATATATATATAAATGTATTTTTATATGCTTCAGGGAAAGAAATTTAATATTAAATTATAAATTTTGACGAAGATTTTTTTTTAAATAGTAGAGAGAGATATTTAATATAGAAAAATTGTATTAAATTATATTAATTGTAGTAAAAATGAGATATTTAATATAGAAAAATTTATAATTTAATATTAAATTTCTCTCCCTGAAGCATATAAAAATACATTTTAAGTTATGTTAATATTCACTGGAGAATACAAAATAAAGCTTTTTTAGCTTTTCAATAATGCGAGAAAGCTCACACGACGACCTATATTTCGCGTCTGCGAAAAACCAAGAATACCATCACTAGACCAGCAACATCTCACAGCGAGTCCGAATCGTGCCAAGCGCACGCTCGACCCGACATAACTTTGCTCAAAAATGTACATGGTCCGCACACCATTGCTATCGCAGAACACATGTGAAAATCGCCTCTCTCTCTCTCTCTCTCTCTTGATTATCATTATTCATCGACTCCGTGAAACGCAACACCATCCGCGACATCCGTGTCATCTCCCGGAGCCGATGCCACGGCGACGATGGCGAATAGGATGTACTCGGGTATACCGCCGGTATTCCGTCTCGATGCCAAGTTCCGCGCCCGTTGTTCTGTGCCCCTGGTGGCTATCTCGCGCCAGGAACGATCACATCGACATCGAGGCACCGATGCGACGACGGCACCGGATGAGGGATGGTCCTGCGGTGAACGGGCGCCTAGCCGTTCACGGTGATCAAAAAGCAAGGCTGCCTGTGACGCGAAAAGGAATTATGAGAAGAGGAATTTCACGGTCGCTGATACTTGCATTTTTGACGCGAAAACGAGTGAACATGAGCGATTATTTCATCGAAAAAATCCTGCTGAGAGATATCTTGCAAACGTGAATTTATAGCTCGAGCAAAGTGACAAATACGGGGTGGAAAATAATTATTTGATAGAGGTCCAGAGAAAAATGAAACGCGTGTGGGAAATCCAATACTTTATTTAACGCAAGCTTATACGTGTCAGTAGTTAATATGTCCTCCCCAGTCTCTCTTATAGCCCTTAATTTTTTGGGATAGAATATTAATATGTTTCAAAATTTATCAAGATTCTATCCCAAAAAATTAAGGATAGCGAGGAGGGAGGCTATACCGATCACTGACACGTAAGCTTGCGTTAAATAAAGAATTGGACTTCCCACACGCGTTGTATTTTTCTCTGAACATCTAGCAAATAATTATTTTCCACCCTGTACACTTTGCAGCGAGATTATTACTGCTTTGACAGCGAAACGAGAATCCATTTGTAATTATACAGGATATATCTGTTACTATATAATATATACAATTATACAGAAATAATCTTCAGATTCAGTATAAGTAAAATTAATATTAATATTAATCTCTCTTTTCATTGTATAATAACAAGAAAATGTGAGATACGGTTTGCGCCAACGATATTTTTCTCTCGTAGAAATCGAAGGAGAAATGCACTCGAAGACATTCGCAACATCAAGTGCAAGTTCACCGGAACCGCGTACATTAATTCCTTTATTTACTTTACCTCTCTCTTTCAGGACACACCTGATCGGAAATTAAGTTGAGAGAAATTCGCGGCTGTATCGCCAATTGATGTTATTAATTGGCCGTCACGAACGACGAACCTCGACGCGTTTCCTTCTTCGAGAAACGCGTCTTTTGGCATGTGTCGCCCGCATCCCTGTCACGATAATAATTACAAGTTATGATGTTGTGTAATTTGCGTGTATATTCGCTAATTCAGCCGACGCCGGGATCTAATTCGAGAAAAGATATTTGGACGAGATCCTCGAAAATACGATAATTAATCCCGTCGGGAGATGACGGCTCAATGAATGCGACTATGCGGGTGAATTTTGTTGGCATGTAAGCGAGATAAGTCACACGATTAAATTACATTGTATTACATTACATACGGATAAAATTGTATTGCTGTCTGATTATCGTCTCAATTATCGATGTCGCGGAAAGACGTTAGCGTTTGCAAAATTTTCAAACAGATTATGAAATAAATTTTATCGACACAATTGATTAAGTTTAATGTAAAGAGACACAATGCCTAATCGATACTTTCGAATCAATAATTATTTAATTTATTCCTTTAACATTCTTTCTTGACCCTTATTTTCGTAAAAATGAGTCTTTATAGTTGAACAGCAAAAAAATGTTCCAATAATTCAACACACGAATCAACAGATATCATTTTACAAATCATTATTTTTATTTCTGTCGAGAATTCTATTTTCGATGCTTAATTTTATTGTGAGTCATCGAGTTTTATGTATGATTATATGTATTTTCATTGCGTCAAGTTTTCAATCTCTCTCTCGCGCGATGCCATAATAACGCGCAGCGGGGCGAATTTCGAGACTCGAGGCTTTGAAGCTCGAAGAAGAAGAAGAAGCAGAAGAATTACGTAAGGCGAAATAAGTCCGTTCGGCCGGGTTCTTCATTCCAGATCTCACACAACACCCTCATTCGATGCTTCTTCGTCGCTTCTCTTGATCCCACCTTCTTCGTCGTCGTCGTCGTCGTTGTCGTGCACCATGCCACCTTAGCTCTCCATCGGCCATCGTCGCTCCCTCTCGCTCCCTCGCCGCCACGATTTGCTTCTGAGGCTGACAGCAGCTATTTTCGTTTCCCAGCGACAATATAGCAGTCACCGTTTAGATCGCTCTTACTAAGCCGAGCTTTGGCCCACCTCTCTTTTCCCTAGCAGTTTTTATTTCTCTCTTATATTTGTGAAAAATCTCTGCTGAAATTATTCTTTCCTCTACTACTGTCCCTTTCCAATTACTTTATCAATATCAACTCATTAATGAAGTATAAAACGCTAAGATACCTTGACTAGTATATATGGTTGTACGTCTCGTAAAATGCGAGTACAATCTTCAAGAAACGAATTTAGCATACCAAAAATAATAAAAAAAAGTTCATATAAACGTTTTGTTTTATCTCTCTCACCCTGTTACAGATGACTTTTACAGACATATTTTGTGGTTGAATATAATTCTCGTTATAAAAATTATATTTTATAAAACGTAAACGGAAAAAATGTGAAGGACAAAACGCGGATTTTTTTTTCCAAAATTCCACTTACCTTCTAATTTCTGTTCTCGAGCACCACTGTTTCTAGTGCCGGTCGCAATCGGATCTCACGATGTGAGGGTCGTCTTATAGGTGTATTTCCTGCAGTGCAAATGACGTCAAATACAGCCATCGTCGAGAGATGCAATTTTCTCGTCGATCCGTTTTTTTCTTCAGGGAAGACAGGTGAATCGCACGACCTTCCTTCCTTCCTTCCTCGTCGTCATCGACATGTGCCGATGTATTAATGTGCATGTGTAGGCGTTGAAGACCGGATGCACTCGTCAGCAATGCACTTTGGCACGTGTGATCTTTCTCTACACTTGTACAATCCTGTCACATGTAAATCAAATATTAGATGCGACTTTGATGTGTCGATCTCAGATATAATTGCAATAAATTAACAAAATTTCTCTATTCATTCTCTCTCTCTCCCCCGCATCTCGATGTACAGAGACTGACATTGAACGCGTTTACATTTTCTGCCGTTATTAAATGCTTCCATTTTCCATAATTACGCGTTTGATGGTGTATTAAAGAAATGTATTTACTTACCTGAGAAATGAAAACGTAAATAAAGTGAAATAGTATCTCACACAATTTTTACGATCATATATGATACTTTCCGGAAATAGTATCAAGTGGCTCGTAATTCAGATAATAAATATTTGTTGATAAAAAAAGTTCATCTTCTTGATAGCATGACAAAGTTGATCGAAATATATTTTTGATTGAAACATAAATCGAGATAAGTATCGGGCAATATAATTACATTTCTCATTAGATTTATATTGTGTAACGTGATATGTACTCTCGCACTATGTACATTGAATAGAGAAATTTCTTTAATGTTTTAAAAATATAATGTGAGAAACAATGAAAGTGTAACCAAAGTACACACGTCGCGCGAATAAATTCGTCTCACGTACCATAGGAATTTTGCCTCTTTGCTGTATATTTTTCAACCTTAATGGAAAGGAGTAATGAAAGGTCAAGTGAAAAAAAAGCGAATGAGACAGGCTTATTTGTGTAAAACAGATGAAACGTATTCTCTTTATTCGTATTCGTATGCCATCGAATTTTATCTTACGCGATCGGACATTTCTCAGCTTAACGTGTAACGAATTGAAATTCGGACATTAGTGACTATAATTCTAGGGCCAGGCTCGTGTCTATTTACAATAGATCTTTGTACAAAAACTAGTTTCATATAAACAGTAAAACCCACGTCCGTGTACCGCGTCAGTGATCGGGAACGAAGACGTCGCTCCTTAAAGAGAGAATTTTCTCGAGTTTCGGCGAAGTCTTTCGAAAGAATATGTCTTTTCTTGGGTCGTTATAAAAATTTTGCGTAAGAAAACATGAGCATTGATGAGCTTCGAATACGATCACATTAATATTGTTAGTATTTTGAGAGTAAGGCTGGAGAATAAGCTTTGATCCATGGATAATACATACTCTTCTTAACCGTATTATTTTATAAAACTGTCAGAGCAACCTGAAAGTAGCTTGTAGATTGTAAAAGTTCCAAAAGAATATGTGAAGTATATATAAAAGACGCTGTTTTGTGCGCGACTTGGAAACCGGAAGTATGAATAAAGTATAAAGCCACCGTTGAAATTTTCTCTCAGCTCACTTTGACCCAGCCTCATCTCTCTTCCTTCTTGTTATTGATGTTAACTACTTAGGGGTTAGACTCTTTGTACGTTACGATATACCGTTTATACCTCAGTATATGGCAGTAAAGAAATAATTCTGGACATGTATAGGTACTCCTTCTATTTTGCTAAAGTCGTTTATCTCGATTTTCCGGTAAAATTATGAAAACGTAGATATGCCGTCCGCGGGACGGCATCGAGATGTAGCGTAATTTCGAGAGGAGATCGCGTTCCTGGTCAATACGATCCGAAGCGACCGCACACCAGTTTCTCTCTACTGTTTTGTTTGGTAAACGTTAAGTGTATTTCGCGGAGTAGTTTGTAACTCGCGCACCAACTATGGGAAGATAGACTTCGCGTTCGCGTCTCGTGAATCCACGTGAATCTCTAACGCTGTTCTCTTCGCTCGTATTCGTTTACATTTACGCGTGTAAATATAATCGTCGGCGGCGTCTTAGAAGCTCACGAGGTCGATCCCGCAAGGGGAATTCCTCCGAACTTATATACAGCTCTCTTGTATCCGATTCGAGCGAGTCACCACTTCCGGTTGATGGAATTTGCCTTGCGCGGACACCGACGATGAAACGGGCCTCTGCGGCATCGAAAGCCCTTTGCTCGTCCTCTGAAGGCTATAATATACCTGAAAGCAAGAACCACATCCGATATTTATCAGACTATTGTATTGATTAATGAAATATATACATCTGCACATTGCACAATTTTTATTTTGACGTATAAAAATTGTGCAATATGCTTAATACAGATATTAATATATATTTAGAATAGATTTTTTAAAGATTTGAATTAAGTTTATAAGTCATATAAGAAAAAAAGAAAAAGCTTTAAATAAATCAGTGAGAATTTGCTCGTCAACAAATAATGTGTACCTACTTTTTCCCATTTTATTCGCATATTTATGCGCGATCGAGCAAACGACTTATGTCACATATGTTTGCAATTTCCTGAATGGAGAGAGCAGCTTAAGAATATTTTTGTGATCTTCCTGCGTTTTGTCATCTCAGTTATATATTTTTATATATACATTTATAAATTTATAATTTATAGTTATCTGTGATAAGAATTTTAACGAATGTTAATTAGCACTTTTGTGTGGCTTTGTTAATATAATTTTGATGTAATTTAAGGCTTCGACGAGAAAGTTGTCGATTAATTTTTCTTTTCTCGCATTTAACACGTTATAATTATTCAGGCATTTAATAGAAAGCGATCGCTTAGGAAGAAGAGCGGAAGTCGAATACGAGACGAGTTACGTGCATCGGGGCTGGCCTCGTCGAATTATCGAGAAAACTTCGACGTAATTAAACTTACGAAAGCGCAGATAACTCAAGGCTCTGCTAAACCGGAAAAGTTAAAGTGGGAGACTGCCGCATATTGAAGCAACCGATTCCTTCTCGCGACTAACTTCCCATCGCTTGCTTCTAATATTTAAAACGATCTCTCTAATTTAGCTTTACAAAAGTATAGACGAAGCAATATTTCGATGGGAACGTAAAGATCAAATCAAGCATTACAAAGTCGTTGCGCATATTCGATATATTCGAGCATAATTTGACCAATTTTTAACTTGTTATTTTTAACTTCATATCGCTTGCATATTTTCCGAAAATTAACTGGAGTTGATACTAGTTTATAATTTTATAGAAATATTAAATAATAAATGCTATTATGAAAAGTTTTCATCAAATAATGATTGTATTTGTTAGTACAATTGCTCTTGTTAAATTCAACATATAATTGCATTTTATTTGTAAAAATTGCAGCTCATTAATTGCTTCTTTGACAAAAAAATCAGTCTTTATACGAGGGAATAAATTACGATATTTAAACATAATCACTTACGTTTTGGTTATTACGTTGATTGTAGGCGTCCATGGCCATCTGTTTGAAATCAGCCATCGTGGGCGGATGATTATAAGTGCTTTGCTGAGGCACATGATTTTGCGGATAATTTAGGGTGGGCGTTGGCAGACAGTCGGTCAACATCGGATCCGGAGGCAAGTCCAGACCGTGCTGAACGATCGGCCTTTTCTCCGGTGAGGCGTTCTCATCGGTGGCGCGATCTTTCTTTCTTCGTTGTGGTGGTGTCTTATAGACGGGGGTGTACGTTAAGGGTCTTCTTTCTAGGGACAGATTTACGGAAGCCATGCAGAAACGAGCGTCTGAGCCGCTTAATCGATTAAATCAAGAAAGGGATGGTTACTTTATAAATACTATCTCTTGTAAATGCAACAACCATCTCGGGACTGATTCGTGTCGTATTTTTTTTATCGCGTCGAGAAAGGCGAGGATTTGCACTACTCTATCGATGAAATTTTCATTACAAAACGCGGATTCTACGAGAAATATCTCGATTTTTAAGCATCTCAATCCAACCTCGTTTTCTCGACATTATCATTATTCGCGGAACTCGCCCGTCGACACAGTTCGCGTATTAATATCGCAAATGGAAATGTATTTTCATGGAAAAAGTAACATCGCGCTGAAATGAATTTAAATGAGAAGTTTGTTTCACGGACTTGCTTACTATATAAGTACAAAAACTAACATTATGTGCTTGTTATCGTATTCTTGAAAAATAATGTCAGAATTTTATTATGTTCACGTGGATTTAAAATATGTATATATAATGTGTTTTTTCAATCGTACACACTTCCTTCCTGTCTCGTTCGAGAATATCTTGCACAAGACTTAATTCGTAGTTACCGCAATTTTAATTATATAAAAAGCTCCATTGGATTACTATTACTCGGTGGTACAATTTTGCACTCTAGAAATGAAGTAGTAATTTATAAAAAGAATTGAATAATAATATATATCGTATTTTTAATATTATTATAAATTCTGCTATTATTATAAATAATTTTTATACATTATAAATAAATGAGGATTAACAAAACATGTAATTCCAGATATACGAGAAATCAATGTCATAATATGGACATATTGAAAATTAGGAAAATTTAAATGTATATATACATTTCCAAACTTAGAGGCGAGCAACGACAGACTTAAGCTTAATTTAATATTAAATACGTTTTCGTTATCGCTCAATTTTCTGCATTATTTATTAGTCTTTACCGAAGTTTACACGAAAGTCGTCATATTTTATGTAATATTCTATGATGTTATTTGACTTGATATTTAACGACTTTGCGGCTCTTAGGATTAGAATATGATTAAAAAATTTGTTATATATCTAACTATTGTTAGATGCAAATTATCTGTAAGTAAACTCTAATAGGAGATATTTTTTATCTTTACATGCATCATGTAAATTTTGAATAAATTATATGCAATATAATATAAAATTGCATAATAAAAGTTTGTAAAAGAATGTAATGAATTTTTTTACATATTCAACCACATTTTGTATTTCTCAAATTCTCTCTCTCCCCCCCCCCCCCTCTCTCTCTCTCTTTCTCTCTTATATCTTTCGGAAGTAATATTTTAAAAAGCTTTACCGAATATGAATAAGTAAATTTGTGTATACAAAGTAATAATATTCGGCAAGTTAACGGTTTTAAAAGATATTAAAGAACGATATTACTTTCCGATATTTCTGACTCGAATCAATTCCTCTTTTTTTTCAAAAACAGTATGCGAGATTGAGAATGATACAAGTATAAAATGCAACATAATATATGCATAAGAAGACTATATAATCTTCAATTCTCCATCAATTTTTCATACAATTAGCAATTACCTTAATGTTTCGTAAATAGCTATATACATTTCTATATTTTTTTGTCTCTTCCTTCTCTTTTTCTCGTAGAATTCTATTTTTCGAATTTGCGTCCACAAATCCGTGCGCGATCACACTATGCTTATTTTAAATACAGTAGTTCTCTGGTATTTCTGAAGAGGGCGTTAGCGCACGGACAAGTTTCAAGCCATATTTATTTTTGTATCACTTCAGATCACATACAATCAATGTGATCGATACAACTAAATGGTATACGTAGAATAGAACAAAACTAATACAAAAACACTGATCGCTGATTTAAATCCAGCTAAGTTAATTTTCCTATCAGCTGTTTCTATTTTGTGTAGCGCTTTAGTTGTATCATTTTGCATTAACGTATTTTTTTTTTTTTGCATATTTTTGATTTTATCGCATGACATTTTTATTAATGAAAAACGCATATAAAAGATATTAAAGAACGAGATATATTACTTTCCTAACTCGAATCAATTCCTCTCTTTTTTTACAAAAAAAAAAAGACAATATATGCGAGATTGAGAATGATGCAAGTGTAAAGTGCAACATGATATATATGCATAAGAAAGCTATATAATCTGCAATTCTCCATCAATTTTTCATACAATTAGCAATTACCTTAATATTTCGTCAATAGCTATATGTATACCTTTCTATATTTTTTGTCTCTTCCTTTTCTTCTTCTTATAGAATTCTATTTTTCGAATTTGCGTCCTTACAAATCCGTGCACGATCACACTATGCTTATTTTAAATACAATAGTTCTCTGGTATTTCTGAAGAGGGCGTTAGCGCACGGACAAGTTTTCAGAAGCCATATTCATTTTTATATCACTTCAGGTCATATGTCATATATACAAAATCCACACAATTAAATGGTACATACACACATTATAAAATAAAACTACAGAAACACTGTTTGCTGTTTTAAATCCAGCTAAATTAAATTTTCCAACTTCTTCTAATTAATTGTATTTTTTTACATTAATCGTATTTGGATATATTTTTGATTGTGTCGCATGACATTTAATGAAAAACGCGCGTTCCCTCTTTCCGAATTTAATTAATATCCTCTTTCATCTTTCTTCTATTTTTTTTTTTTTTTTATTCATTTTCCTCTATTTGTCATATTTATATTTGTCATTCAAGGATACCTTACAAATCGCTCGCGTTCAATCATTCGCATATGTATATATTCGAGTGGCGCGTCTCGTGAAGAAGTAACGTCACGAAAATTCGTCGTTAGATTTCGTCCACGCGAGTTTTTATCGTCAGTATTCCGGGTAGTGTTTATTGCTCCGAAAGCATGCTCGAACAAATAGCGGAAGAGAGAATTACGCGAGCTGGAGTATACGTAGGTTAGAACAACCGCTCCGTCTGGAAAACTCTCTGTCTGGAAAGTGATATAATACGTATAATGGATGTAGAGAGAATCGCAATGTTTGCCGGCGTCGGCTTCGCCATCGCCGTCGGCTTATTTGTCTTGTGGGGCCCGTCACCGAAACCCAGAAAAAAAGGTAATGTCCGGGCTTTAATTCCAATTCTGTCAAGTGGAGTATCTGTTAAGCAAGATTGAGAAATTTCTTTATCATACTCTCTAGTTTTTGTTATTGTTTTCCATTTTCAACAGCAAAACTATTATGTGAATAATAATAGGGACGCATTGTCAATGATTGTAGCTGTCAGTGTTAGAAATACAGTAAAGTTAAAATTTGTTTTTCTAGATCTTGTACCGAATTTATTAATCTTGTTTTTATATTTGATTGTTGTAGCTCTTTAATTTTATATCTCTTCAGTTTTTAAATATTTTTTATAATTAATTTTATATTATATTTTAGAGACATCATACTCTGATATTTACAAATTTATTTGTGTTTTCTCTAGGCCAAGTTATCGGGATCAATAATTTGGGATATACATGTTTCCTGAATTCTCTTTTGCAAGCACTGGCTGCTTGTCCTACATTTATTCTCTGGCTTCAAAGACAGCAGGAGAAGAACAGGAACTTTGCCGATACACTACTCTCTGTCCTTAAGAGTATGAGATTTTGATTAGATATTAAAATTATAATGTACAATAATGTACCTAAATGTATTAAATTCTCTATTGTCTATTTCAAGTTCTTCTAGTGTTTTTAAAACTATTTTTATTTTGTGACAACTTAAAGATCTTTAATCTTAAAAAATCTTTCACATATCAAATTTAAAATTATAAGATAATTAATTTTATTGTTTATAACTGTAAAATATTTAGTTTATTAAATTACAAATTAATACATATAATTTATAAATTTTATTTTACAAGAAATTTAATTTATTAATTCAAACGATTTATTGACATTTATAATTTGGAATTTAAGAATTGTAGTTACATATAATTCATAGGTATAATCTCTCTAGCATAAACTTCTACTGAGATACATAATCTAATTAATTTAAAATCTTTATATTTATAGGGTGATGCGGTGAAGTTTCTCGATAGTGGTTTTACGACGATACAGGGTAAACATAAATATCGGTTATGCGCGGTAATCGAACATCGTGGGCCCGTGGATTCCGGTCACTTTGTTTGCTTTAGACGCGGAAATAAAACGGATCAATGGTTATACACATCCGACATTATTGTCGAGAGCGTATCTTTGACGCAGGTGTTGCTTGCTAGTCCGTATTTGCTTTTCTACGAGCGTATTAGCGGCGTTTATCCTAGCTAGGAATAAATTTTCGAGGTGATAGGCAATCTATAGGAATTACATAATTGCGCATCGATCAGTAATGGAAGTCCGTTCTTTTTAGCTACGCTCTTTCACGCTTTCGGCGTTTAAAGTGGAGCGAACGATAGTGATGGAAATAATGTGGAAAGGTAGAATTATAAATTTGCAAATAAGCGTGTAGAAAGTGCAGCTGGAAAAAGAACAGGAATAAGATTTGAAAAATACAAGAGACTGTCGAATTTTCCATAATTAGTTTAGTGTCGCTCGATATTTGCGATGTAATTGCGATAATACTTTGTTATAATCTGCGACTATAGAGCGCGTCCCTAGGTGATATTTTATAGCAGTGGCAAAATATATCAAGTATATAATCCAAAATTCAGAAGCATTTCAACAAATGCAATAATAATTGCTATTATTAAATGCTGACGAATCTAACAGAGTAGTTAGTTTTGTGAAACTTCTTGCTTCTGACACAGTGATAGTAGATCTCTATCAGAAGAGATTGTCAATTCTTATACAAATCGTTTTTTGATCAATTCATCATCATTAAACTTCATTTTAATGAGGACTAGGATCGTGCCAATGAAAAAATCTCTGAATTAAATTTATTGAGAGGGATAAGCGAAATCTTGTATTTTTTTATTATATGTTTATATCTTATAGGGCTCTTCAAGCTCTTGCAATATGTGCAATTGTTAAAAATATTACTATAATTATAAAGACTGTGAATCTAATTAATAATTTTTTTGTATATATCAAAGAATTATTTTTCTTTCTGGATAGCATAAAGGAACATGCTAATTACCAGAATAAATTTACTTTAAGAACTAACATAAAATACCTAACATATGTAATTTAAAATCTTATAGAAAATGTATCAAATCGAAATAAAATAATAAAAATGCAGGACATGAAAATAAATCTTATTCAAAATAAAAATATGATTTTTCCTTTTGCAAAGTATAATTTCATTAAAATAATAAATTTAATTAAAAGTATTCGATATTTTATTTAATTGTTATACTCTATTTTTTATTACAAAAAATTGAAAACAAGTATAAATATTTTAATTTATACACATATAACATTATTTTTAATATAAATAAATCTAATTGAACTTAATCCTATATATATAAATCCAAGTTAACTCAACCTTACCTTACTCATTTCCAAATCTCATTACAAACGTGTGGATGTCAGTCAAGTGTCAGTGGATATTTTGATCTCCATTGTCTCCATATTATTGTTCATATATGCATGATTGAGTGGCAAATATGAAGCAGTGATAAAAATGTAGAGATTTGTAGAGAAAAGATCGTATTATGTGTCTAAACAAAAAACAAATTTAAACATTAGAAGCAAAAAAGATTTACTAAGGTTAGACGAAAAATATAGGAAACACATCCTACCGAAAAAAATTATGTGCAAAAGCTTAATTGTATTGTAAATAATATATAAAAAGAAAAAAGATGTGTGCTTATGCAAAAAAACATATATAAGAAATATTATAAGTATTATTAAAAATCTCACCTATAGCAAGGACTCTTTATTATATGTATATCTTATTTCGTCAAAAGCAGTTTATCCTTCAAGAGTTATTGTTTCTCGTGGAAATTCACACAAGCCAGCATGACTACTCCAATCAGCACTGCCATGGACAGTTTGAGCGCAGCTCTAAAATCCAACATTATCCCCAACCAAGAATATCTGCTGCAGGGATCAGTATTGGATACGTCAGTAGAGGTATTATTGCATAGACTTCGTGGTTTGTGCGATAATGTAGACACTGGACCAGAACCTTTCTATGACCATGAGATGTGTTTTAGCATTCGAAGGTACAATCTTCCTTTTCTTCTCTTCTATTCTTTCCCTCTCTCTCCCGAATCTTATTCTAATAAAATAAGGTAGTATAGTTATGAGAAATATAATTATATATCAATTTTTGTTTTAAAGAGCTACTTTTTGTAAGAGTTTATTTGATTTTTAGAGGTTCACCGCAAGAACAACCATTGCTACTGCGAGTGCGACGTGCTCTAGACCCAATTCACTCAGACATGCCATGGCAATTGCGATACATCGGCCAACCTGAATTAGGTGATAAATCTCGACCGACAGTCGTACGCAGTAGCATTGATATCGCCACTAACAACACTGTGGTAGAGTTTCTTACCGAGCTGGGCTGCAAACTAGACTTTGAATATGTCACTCGTGGTTATATGTTCCGTAAAGGTCGAATGAAGATCACCGTGTCGAAGATCTTTAAGGTAAATCAAGGCAAAGTGCCAGAAAGTGTACCAGAGATGATATCACAGAGTTACTTGGTGGAGCTGAGTGTATTAGCTCCCAGTGGACAAGACGCCATAGCAGAGGACATGAGGATATTCGCCGAACAGCTGCGACCTTTGGTACAACTGGAAAAGATAGATTATAAAAGATTGGTCCATTAGTTGTAGGATTTTCTAATAGTCTATAATGTGAATAACTAAAGCATAATGTATCAAAAAATTGATTAGACAGACTAATCTAATTTTGTAATTAAATAAACAAAAAGCAACGAAAATTCTTAAAAAATTTTTGGAAACAGAGTATTTTATAGTAATTGTGTTTGTTCCCCAATGTAACATCAAAGATTTATTTTATCTCTTATATAAGCTGTATAGCATTAATATAAAATTAAGATAGTGACTAGGATATTGTTTAAATAAAAATCTCTCTAAAAAAACAAGCAAAGAATAAAATATATATAAAAAATAGAATTGCACAATTCAGATTTTTTAAATTAAAGTTATATGATTACAATTATGTTCTTTTCAAGTTTATTTTTCTAAAACTTAATATTATACCATTATTTCTCTCTCTCTCTCTCTCTCATACAATAATAATAATAATTAAATTAATTAATAATTAATACAATAACGATAATAATTAAATTTTTAAAAAATTGCGAGATAAAAGTAATGAAAATATCGCGCGCAAGTATGTGTGTCGCGATCTGCGGCGTACCAGAGTTGTGTTCAAAAATGTATTCATCGGAATAGACAGTAACATTTAATTGACCAATCAGAATAAAAGAAGCATAGGATTCTCTATCTTGATTGGTCCGTCGTGCTATTCCACTTGGCGACTAGATTTTTGAACTCAACCCAAAATGAAGAACGCGCTGAATGGAAGAGAACAGTCAAGATGGGGTTGAGTTAGGTCAGGTTAGATCTAGGTAGCTCGTCCGACAGCCGTCAGACACCATTTTGCGACATTTTTGCGCGTATTGTGTATTGTTGCACCAGCTGGTCGCGCTAATCCTTTAAAACTCGAAGGTATGGATCATTTAATTGACAGATTGTTATTCATAGCGCTTTTTAGGTTATGTTTGCGCGTTTGGTCATCAAAGGAAAAATTGCGGGTGCGTAGGGATCCTCAGAAATTTTCTTAGCGTCGTTTCAGCGACGAAAAGGAGCGAGCATCTTTTCGTCGTCGCGGCCGATAAACCAAAATGGCGGGAAAAAAACCTGATATCTAGAGAGATGGGAGGAAGATTAAGCACTTTACTTAAAGATGACAAAATTTAGAACGATATACGTATTTCTGTGAGAAATTAAGTAACTTATGGGGGCGGGGGAGAGGAGGGAGGTAAAGAAAGATAAAAGAAAAAAGTAACGAAAATTCGACGGCGAAGTGCAATATGGCGTTGATACAACGGTTTCCATTCTCGTATAATTGATTTGGACTTGATTACGCGGTTTTCAATTGATTAAACGAAATGGTAGAGTTTTTAATCCTTCGAAATCTTTCTAGAATGATTATTGTCGCGCCTGTTGAATATAACACAATAAGACGGAGAATTCATTATTTGTTAATGAGTTTTTTTTTCATTATGCCAGTTACATTTTAATGAGCATGCTAGAACATAAATTTTAGAATTATATTATATATA